TATGGAAGGCAAACAAGGGTGTTTTTTGTTGATATTTTATAAGGTGGGGCTTTTAGGCATTTTAAATCGATTAATGTGGTGATTGGCCTAAATAGGCTCAGATTAGGTAGGTCTAGAGGGGTAGTGATTCAGTTAATTTATTAACTTTGAAACATAATCTTGGTGTGATGAGGGGGGAATAAGGGAATTTTTTGTTGAAATTTGGCAGGGTTGTGTTTTTTAGCAGTTTTGGTTGTTTGGTAGGGTCAGATTGGCCCAATTATACCGAGATCGGGCATATTTGAAAAGCACTTGATCTAGGTAATGCGAAGCTTTGGAACGGAATCTTGGTGCGATAGGGGGAATGAGGGACTTTTTTGTTAAAATTTGGCAAGGTGGTGTTTTTTGAGCATTATGGGTTTATTGGTAGGGTCAGATTGGCCCAATTATTCCAAGATCAGGCAGATTCATAAAGGACTTGATCTAGTCAATGCAAAGCTTTGAAACAAAACCTCGGTGTAAATGGAGGGCCAAAATCACATAACTTTGGGTCAACAAGAGCATCTGAAATGGAATATTTGTTCAATAATGAGGCAAATGGGGAATTTTAGGTTGAAAATTTATGGGTAGATGTTTTTAGTGTGTATAGGGTTCAATTATATGGTCTAATTAATTCAAATGTGTTAGGATGAAGGAGATTTGCGTTGTGGGTGCTTCAGGCTAACGGGAGGGTTTGAAAGGGAATCTTGGTTTGGTAAAAGAATAAACGGAGGAGAATCTTGGGCTGAAATTTCAGGGGTAGATATTTTAAGAGGTCTGAGGTTTGATGACAGTGTTTGGGGATTTTTAGGTACTTCGAAAGGATCGAAACGGTCTGATCAGGTGTTCGGGGTAAATTAAGGTTTCGATGGCAAATTGAGCAAAGAAATCAAGTGCTGACAATGGGATTTCTAGAGGTATTGTTCTCTTTGAACATTTGGTGATGTTTGATTGGTCCATAAATGTTATGATCAAGGGCATTTAAGAAATGAATATCTTGGCCTACGAGATTTCCCAAATTAAAATCTAAGTATGATAAAGTGTTAAATGATGGCTGTGATAAAGTTGTGGTAAAATATTTATAAATATCTAGGGTTTTTTAAAAAATCCATTAACTCTAATTTACAATTCAATTAAAAAATCCTATACATCACACGGATTCTGACTAGTATTGAATTAAAATATGTAAGATAAATTAAATAAAACATATCATGCAAAACATAGATATATACTCATCCACGACACACCAAAAGCCAACAGAACACCTTAACATATGGTGGTGCATTTCAAAATGCAATATATCAATACCGAACACCCGATTCTCACTAAATGAAACAAAAAAAAAAGAAAAAAAAATCTATAATGCGAGAAAGAACTTTGTCAAATCTATAATGATTGTGAAATTTCCACTTTTTATCATTCTGGTTGATTTTTTATAGTTATAAGCATTGATACAATTGATGGTTATAATTAAACACCATGCCTATAAAAAGGATTGATATAATTGATGGTTCGCACCGCATTCTTTCGCAGGAATTTTGTCGCATGTGAATTCCCGTCCCGTTGGGAAGCGACTTTGAAAAGTCAATGCAAAGAGACTACCATCAAGACCCAAGTCTTCCAATAAGATGACAATAATATTCCTCTGCTTGAGAAAATACACAAAAATGCCACTATATAATAGCGTAGCAGTGGTTGATCTGGCGACTTTTGATTGGTGTATGGGAGACCTGCCACCTCAATTAGATTGCCGGAGTGTGTTATTTTTTTCATTAAATTCGGGCCGGTTTCACATCATCGTAATATGGACCCGACCCGAATTCTTAAGAACTTCTATCAAACGCATGAGCACATTAACAAGTACCGAATTCTTGAGAACTTTTACCAAAAAGAAAAACAGGTCTAGAGAACAAATTAGAAAAGGGAAATAAAGGAATACAACTATTTGGATTGTAAAATCCATACAGTAGCATATATATCCAATGGTCCAGATTGTTCAATCAGCTGAGTTTATCAGTCATATTAGGGTAAAATTTCAATGGCTTAATATTTTAACGCAGATCAAATAATGTGTGACCATATTTGCATTAGAAATTGGTTGATGATAAATTTTCTCGCATTTAGAAAACACTAGGTATCCATATGAAGAATCGGGGAGATATTTCCAATGCAAGGTTGCAAGAGATTGTTCGAACTTCGATATGAAAGGGCTGAAGTACAGCGGTTTATGGCTTTTCAAGGTGTACCCCTCATGAACAGCTTATAAGCTATATATAGTGAAAAATATGAAAAATTCAAATCAGTTGTTATTTGAAGGATTGTTTGCTTCACCCTCTTTGAATAGCCCAAAGGTTCCAAGGCAGCTGAACCAGTTTATCCAAATCTTTAGCTCAGCCCTCCCAAATGGGCTCTAATTAGGTCACAAGTGGCATGTGCAAAATGCATTTATGTAATAACTACAGAGTGGGGAGAGAGGAAATTAAACATATAGATTAATTTTTTTGCATGCTTGTGTGGACATGAAGCCAGGATAACTATCAGCATTATATATAGTAAAGACTAGGATCCATAATCTGCCTGATGGATCTAAATACATTAAGGCAGTGTTTGGTTTGAAGGAAAAAGGTAGGGAAAGAAAGGGAAAGGTAGGAAAACCTTTACAAACCTTGTATAGGTTTCCTGTCTTTTCCTTCATTTCCCTACCTTTTCCTTCAAACCAAACATTGCCTAAAGCTATGTTTGATTAGGTAAGAAAGGGTAGGGAAACTTGTTCCAAATTTTGTGGACAGGGATCAATTACCACCTTACAAAAGCCAAAAGCTGCTATATAAAAGTTTAAAGCAACAATATTGTTGATACACAAATTTTGCATATGAGAGAGTTGATGTGGGTTAGTTTGGCCCAGCCCGCTAACGCCTACTAACGTCAGCCACAGTAGGAGGAAGCCCTGTTGCCTTCGTACAGAGCCAATCACATAACTATTTGACGTACCACCAGAGCTTGTAGCCTGACCTCGTACGGCTTTCATCCGAGGCATTCATCTTCACCTACCACCAGCACACTCAAGTATAAATAAGAGGTAACTGCCCCTTAAAAGGGGTTGAAACGGAGTAACTCCAACATTATTCACTCATTTACTTCCCGCACCTATATTGACTACCTAACATTAATTCAGGGAGATTTGGTTCATCCGAGGACTCTCTCCAAGAGCACTTTCGCACTCTCCCTTGCTTCACACCTAGTACTAACTTGAGCGTCAGAGTCTCCGCCTTGGGTATCCACCCCGAGGTCTCTAACACTCCTTGTCTTGCAGTATCTCAGGTCACCAGGGACCTCGCCTCGACTAGCAGTCCTCAGCTACCATAGTCCGTTTGAAGGAGTACTTTGCCTCGGCTAGCTGTCATCGACTTCAGTCAACATCTTCTGAGGCCCCGAGGTCTTCAGCTAGTGCTCGGAATCTGAAGAGTGATTTTACCTTGTTGCCCTCGGTCAACCCGCGCGACAACAATTGGCGCCATTTGTGGGAACGTGGTTGCTAAGACGACCCCCACTCCAAGATAAACAATAATAACACTCTATATCCAAAACCCCTATAAACTCGGAAGTCATGGTGAGGAGAGCCAGGAACAATCTAAACATGGTTACCTACGAACAATTTCAGACCGTCCTCGATCGCTTGGACCGCCTCACCCAACGAATGGAAGAAGTTTGCCCCCGAGAAGGAGGTCCCTCTCAAGGCGACCACCCCACTAGGGTGTCAGAGGAACAGGGGCAACACGAGAACATCAAGGTACCGGCCCTTGGCCACGGTAATCCGCTGGTCGAACCGTCAAAATTGGGCAATAATCGCTTCCCCGATTCACCTCGAAGGAATGTCTATCCTCCTAGCCAAAGGGAGAGTGTGCCTGCTCAATCCAAAGGCAGTCATCAATCTTCGGATCAGCACCACCACACATAAGAACATCTCCCTTGTTTGATAGGATGGTTTCTCCATAGATCCCCACAACCCATCCCTCCCATCAATTGGGAACATCTCCCCATGACAAGAACGAGAAATGTTCCTAATGCACAAGGGGATGGGTTGTACGTGAGGCACCTATCTCGGTCAAGTTTATTCATACTTGTTCATGAAACTGTTCCTTTTTGTGCGGCTGGATTCATGTGTGTTCATATGCGTTTTACTTGCAGCAAATCCTATCTCGGTCAAGTTTATTCATTTAAAGACGGGATCCAATAGACCTATTTATGGGTCGAGTTCGGGTTGAATTTTGTCAAAAATTGAATTGAAACCCAAGCCCAAAACAGCATGGTTTTAAAAATCGAACCGATCAGGGGTCCGGTCCAGTTACCGGTTAGAAAGGTCTGACTATTCGATCCGAACGACCAGCCTGTTTTGACAAAAAAATTTAAAAAACAGTAAAAACCGTTCAAAGGTTTGGACAGTTTGAATGATTAATCGACCGGTTCAACAATTTACTGACCAAAATCAACTGTTTTGAAGAAAAAAGCTAATTTAAAAAAAAAATGGAATCGGTCATATAACCGGTTCCCAATTTTTCCGGTCCGGTCCGATTTTAAAAACCATGCGATACAGTATAAATCAGGCTCGAAGCCCGGTCGGTGAACAGGTCTAAGCACAACATAATAAACACATTCATTAACCACTCTGAAAATAAACAAAAGTTCTAGAGAGTCTAAAAGCATAGGAATCCTGCCACTCATCATGAAACACCTTCTCATGAATTTGACATAACTTTTGTTGCGAAAATCCGAGCCCCAAGTTACAACTTTATATACACAAGTGGCGATTCAAAGGGTTTTTCGGGTATGACCCGACCTGGTCTATCCCCAACACTAACGACTAACGTGTCCAGACTGTCAGTCATCCTTGAGTGGTATTGTCGTAAATTAAATCATCATCGTGGGTGATTGATTACTCTATTTTTCTATAAATAACTGCTGGTTTGCTGTAACCATTTTTATCGGGCTGCCGGAAATGGCGAAGCTAGCCCTAGTTATCAAGCTTCTGGTTTTATTCCTCACACTCCATGTTTCATTTTTACTCGGTTTTGCACCTTCGGAGATTATTTTTGAGGAGCGTTTCGATGGTATTGACGAACATTTTCTTTATTTTTGATCATAACCCCTTTCCTTTTTTCTCTCTCTCTCTTTGCCAGTTTTTTAGTACATGCTTGTTTCTTATTTGTGTTCTTGTACAAAAGCTTTGTACCTTTTTCTTTGTAAATTTGTCTCCTATTTGGGTTTTTTCTCTTTGTGAGAGCTACTTTTGATCAAACGTACTTTCATCTCACTCATTCTTCAAATTTGGCTACACTTTGCACTGTAATCTGTCTGATGAATTTAGCTATTTTGTACCGGGATTTCCTTTTCACTTTATGAGTTCTTTAGTTGTTTTTAATCAGTGGTCGGTTGCATTTTTCTTGGATTTCTTGGGTCTTTTGTGTTGCCATGGTATTTTCAGTGGGTGTGTCCTGGGCCTTTTTTTGGGTCGATTTGTTCCGAGCTATACTGATTTCAATTACTTTTCTTATGGTGGAAAGACGATTGGACTAGTCGTTGGGTTAAATCAGACTGGAAGAGGAGCGAAGGAAAAGCCGGTTCGTTTAAGCACACAGCAGGGAAATGGTCTGGTGATCCAGATGATAAAGGTATGCTTTCTCTCGTCATCTTAAACTATACATTTCTGTCGTGTTAGAGGTTTTAATTAGTAGTTAGGTACCTTCATTCTAGATTGTCCAATAATGGTTGGCCTCTTGCATGGGGAACTCATAACAGTTCGATGCTTCTACTGATCAAATGAGCAAAATTTAGGTCCCATATTGACAATCAAGTGAAGCCAGTTCTATTTGTTGATTGTTCATCCAAACCCAGAATGTGATTTATCAAGTTAGAGTGTTGGTCAATGACTATTAAGTTATCTCATTAATGGCAGACTATAGAAGTCCATGGTTCACACTCTATGTCGTATGACTATGGGCATCTCGGGTGTACTTACGATATGTTTTACCGGGAAACAAAATTTTGCAGGAATTCAGACAGCAACAGATGCCAAGCATTTTGCCATATCAGCAAAGATACCAGAGTTCAGCAACAAGAACAGAACTCTGGTGGTCCAGTATTCTATAAAGTTGGAGCAGGACATTGAATGTGGTGGTGGTTACATTAAGCTTCTTTCTGGTTATGTCAATCAGAAGAAATTTGGTGGTGACACTCCATACAGGTCTAATATTTTGTTCCTTCTTCTATTTTCTACCATGTAATCTTTTGTCCAGAATGATTGGAGGTATTCTCTTTGACAAATCAATGTGCACAGATGTACATCCATTGCCTAAAAAAGATGTCATTTTATCTTCCTGTCTCATTATTTCTTTTTTTTTTTTTCTGTATGTTATATGATTGTTTTGTACAGTTGCACATAGTTCTTTAAACATGTCCATTTCCCAGTGAATGGAATGTTCATCTAACTGTCACCTTGAAGCTTGATTACGATGTACTTGGTCATTCAAGCCCTCAAATGTGCTAAACAGATCTAAGTTGGACCGAATCAAGCAATATTCGAATTCGAATTTGATTAGAAATTTCAATATTCAAGCTGGGATTTGATTAAATATTCAAATATTTGATTCGATTCAAATTCAACTGATTATTTATTTTAGGTAATTAATATTTAGTATAAATATTTTATTTATGTAAAGTATATAAAATTTTATATAATTTAAATATCATATATTAATTACCTAAAATGTCTAAATATTTATATATTGTATATATGAATTATATAACCAGTCGAATATGGATATTTATTGAATTGAATTAGGTTCTATCCAAATTTGACTGACTATGATATTTGAATTATCTGAGTTTGATTTGATTATGTCGAATCTTGAATTTGAAATTGCATTTTTGGATACTTTTGACACTGCTAGTGTTAATGTATCTTCTTGTATTTCATTAAGGAATTTGATGTTACGTGGCAAATGATGTAATTTTGACTTTGTGAATTATAGGCTGATCCCTTGCTTTTGATTTTGCAGTTTGATGTTTGGACCAGATATATGTGGCTCACAGACAAAGAAACTTCATCTTATAGTTTCCTACCAGGGCCAAAACTATCCTATCAAGAAGGATCTACAATGTGAAACTGACAAATTAACTCATTTTTACACATTTATTCTTAGACCAGATGCAACTTATAGCGTCCTGGTTGACAATCGAGAAAGAGAATCTGGAAGCATGTATACAGATTGGGATATTCTTCCTCCTCGGAAAATTAAAGACGTTAATGCGAAAAAGGTACAAACTTGGATTTGTAGAGCCTAAAATTTCTAGCAAATATCAATTAATTGTTAATATGTTTAATTATCTACTGGTTCCATCACCTATAACCCAATATTGGATTGCATTTCTAAATTCCAAGTCTTCAAGATCAATTTTTGTGAAAGGGCACATGTTGAAATTGTTAGAATTTAGATCACTCTAATGGATGGTATAAAATAGTAGGATATGCTATATAGCTATTTAGCTGTCATAATTTTGAGTTTTTAGTAGATAGTCAGCATTTTAGTGTTCTATATTTAATTAATTCTTTTATGTATCTACTTGTTTTGTGAACAGCCGGCCAACTGGGATGATAGAGAGTATATTGATGATCCTAATGATGTTAAACCAGAGGTATCATAAAGCTTATTTTATGCAATTGTTGTAGTAACATTGAAGAAAATTACATCTAAATCATGCATTCTTCTTCTTACAAATTTTACTTGAATCTGCAGGGATATGACTCAATTCCAGCTGAAATTCCTGATCCGAAGGCTAAAGAAGTATTTGCTTCTCTTTGATTCTACATTGTTTTCAAATAAAAGTCATATTAACTTTGATCTGATTGCCGGATAATTTGTATATTTAGGAGTGTTAAGACCGCCAAATATTTCATTCTTCAATTAAATGGGTCTCCAAATTATGTGCAAACTATATACAAGAAAATAGTTAGGTTATGCTTAGATCTTGGTCAACTTAAAATTGGAGGCAGTGAAGGTGCTAATTTTTATAGTGTTTGGCACCATGGTGCTGTTGCATTTAAGCATAATCAGCAACATAGTAGATGGTACAAGCTAAATTTCTTCAATATTTTTTTTTTGTTAAACATGTTTTGTAAGGATATATCATAATCCTAGATATTTAAAGTGCGATATTTTTTATTAAAAAATTATTTCAACTAGAATATGACAACCCATAAAAGTGGTTTCCTTTCATTTTCCAATGTGCCATAACATAGGCAGCATTGCAGCAATATATACCTGCAATTATGCTAAAGATGATTTTTGTCCATTTATGCTAAAACCTGATGTAGCTAGTTATTTAAAGACAATAGCTGGTAAACATAACGATGCTAGACACCCTCTTCATGAAGCATCGGATTTTTTCCATTTGGTTTGTTTTAGAGGAATAATGAATTTCTTAAAACATGGTTTTTAAACCTTCAATTTTTCAGTTTTTTACAGAACTGGAAATTCCTAGAATGGAGTTTTCATTTTGAATTCTGAAAAATTGGTCAGTGGCTGAATAAAATTCTAATTCAACAGGCACAATGCAGAAACACAGCTTGATTGAGTGCATGTATAACCACTAGTTCTTTTCTTTGCTTCTTTCTTCTTTTTGTTTCTTTAGAATTAAATGATGCTAAACAAGTCAAGATGTGACCAGTCATGTATTCGATATGCCTGGACACTGGATATGTGTCAACAAGTGTCTGACACAGAATTCTCTAGGGGGGAGTCGCCATGTATATAGTAACTTTTATTTATTTAACATCATGTTTGCTTGTATCAAAGCATGGTGTATTATTATATTTTCAGGTTCCTTACATAATGATCTAAAAGAAAATGATACTAATCTTCTAACATGCTGTGTGCCAATTGTTAGCCGGATAATTGGGATGAAGAAGAAGATGGCATATGGAAACCGCCAAAAATACCAAATCCAGCATACAAAGGGCCATGGAAACGCAAGGTGTGCCTGTGGAAGCAAAAATTTACATGTGAAAAGTATTGTTGCTTTTCTTTCAGTTTCTCACTAGTGTTATATTTTATAACAAAACAGAAAATCAAGAACCCCAACTATAAAGGGAAGTGGAAGATTCCATGGATTGACAACCCAGGTATTCTTTTCTTGCTGATATGATTAGAAAATATAAAATAAATTTGGACTAGTGATTGGAAATAAGTATCAAATGGATTCTCATATTTTTGCAGAGTTTGAAGATGATCCTGACCTTTATGTGTTGAAGCCAATCAAATATGTGGGCATTGAAGTTTGGCAAGTAAGATACATAAACACATATAAAGTACTCTACCAGGATTACAGTTTTTAGCTCTTTCCTTAGCTCAGCCAGTTAATGAAGGATGCCATATTTTGTAAAACATTTACTAAGCTGTCTTACTCTTTATAAGATGATTGGCTGGATACTTTGGATGTGTTTGGCATGCTTTTAGAGAATTAATTCTAATGATTTTTTATTCAAAGATTCACTTTTTTAATTTGAATTTATAAAAATTGTTAGAACTAATTCCTTTTCTAGATTCAATACTCATTATGAGAATTGATTCATTGAAGCCAAAAAAAAAACTTCAAAAGAGAATCACTTTTTGCCTAGAACTCATTTTTCACATAATGATTATTTGGGGCAGAACTGTAACCAAAGATAGCCTTAGATCCTGAGTTAACTTAGGCTAATTCCACCCTTTTTCGTCAGTTTGCTCCTGAGCAGTGAGAAATACTTGTCTGTTTATGATGAAAGCAATTTCATTATTCATTTGTCCAGGTGAAGTCTGGTTCTGTTTTTGACAACATTTTAATCTGTGATGACCCTGAGTTAACTTAGGCTAATTCCACCCTTATTTGTCAGTTTGCTCTTGTGCAGTGAGAAATACTCGTCTGTTTATGATGAAAGCAATTTCATTATTCATTTGTACAGGTGAAAGCTGGTTCTGTTTTTGACAACATTTTAATCTGTGATGACCCTGAGTATGCCAAACAAGTTGTTGAGGATATATGGGAAAGGAATAGGGAGGTCAGCTCTTGCCTTTCAGTCTCTAATAGTAAATTTTATCTTAGTGTTGTTTAAAGTGCATAATTCTGTTGTGTTTCAAATTACAGACTGAAAAAGAGGCCTTTGAGGAAGCAGAAAAAGTGAGGAAAGCACGAGAAGAAGAGGTGACCAACTATTATAATTATTCATATGTTCTTTAGTTTCAGCTTGCATTTCAACTAGATTTTGCTCCATTATGTAGGGTGCAACCCTAACAATTAAATATACATTCCTAACCCCTGAGCATTTTTCATAAATAGTAACAACCAAAGAGCTTTTAGAGAATTCTAATAGAAGACAATCCTGCTGTTAGATAATTTTAATGGCAGGGAGCCGCATCATAGATACAGAAAAATAAGATGAAAAGAAAATAGTTTAGTATACTGGCAAACCTCATATAACACCTGATACCTTTAGTCTTGTTTCCAAACCCCTGAGCTGGAGCCGCCCATTCTAGAATCTGTTTTCAAACCCCTCTATTTGCCATAGACTTTACTAAGACAATAATAGATTGTGAAATCCACCTGAACATGTTAAATAGAGCTGTTGGGCCTTTGCCCTCCTCATCAGATATCTGAGGGACCATTTTACATGGATGATGTTTGGTATTGACACCTGTTCAATTTCTATCTAGAAATGGGCAGGAATTTAAGTCCATTTCTTGCCCAAGTGTGCCATGCCCAAAAGTCATGTTGCACTTGTGCAATAGCTGGCTTGTTCTTGGAAGAAATGTGATTACATATTCCTCATATTTGGGAATACCTATTCTTTTTGAAGGCAGTGAATACCTATTCACACTAATAAAGAGACATTAGATAATAGACCTCTATCTCCATGTGGGGCCCACCAATTTTGTTCAAATTCTCATGTGGGACCCACCAAACCTTCCTATAAAAATTTCTCAAATATGTTCAAATTTGGAGGAAATGTGGTGACATGTCCCACATATGTAGGGCCCGTCAGTTATGTTCAAATTTGTTGTGGGACCCACGATCCTTTTATAGAGAATTTTTATATATGTTCAACTTTTATAAAACAATGTCAAATGGGACTCGCCAATGTAGTTTTGGATTTAAATAACATGAAATATCCAAAAAAGTGGCAATGAGAAATATTTTAGCCAAATGTCGAATCAAATGCATTTTTCAAAATTCCTCTTTCTATTATAGAATTTTTGTTTCTTGTTTAATTGAACCAAACAACACTCTTCATTTCTTCCAAGCTGTTTCCTTCCCTCCTATTTCTGGTTAGAATCAAATTCTGTTTCCAGAAAGAAATGGCAAGGCATGGAAGAACTTGGCAATGAATCAAACAGGCCTTCCGTGTTGCTTCTATTAGCAGACGACTCACATCCTGAAGAAGGCCAGTTGGAAGGCTTGCACACAACTTAGAAAAAAAAGAAAAAGCAACTCAGCTCTTAAGAGAATTCCTTAAACCTAATGGGCTCAAAAAACTCAAAGAGCCGAGAAGATTTGCATCCCTCTCAATGCAAAATCAGCCACAACTTGTGAGGCTGCCATTTTCTTAGGAAAGAAAGCTTGTAGACTATCTTTAATTCTTCTTTCGTTGGTTTCTAGTGGGCTGGCCAACATATTTTATATCTGATTCCTTTGGTGAATTGGGGGCAGCATTTTTAATTCCATTTGTGATAGGCTGTTCATCACAAATGAAAGACTGAATTCACCTAGGTCATATTCATCATTCCTCATTTCATATTTTGCTACAAGCCTTTCCCTCCACAATCTGGTTGTTCATTGAATCTCAAAAAACCACTTGCCTAATAATGAAGTATCAACAGGAAGCTCAACAAGCACGAGAGGAAGGTGAGCGGAGGAGAAGAGAGAGAGACCATGATCGACGATACCGGGACAGAGAGCGTTATAGGGACAAATATAGAAGGGTATGATTTCTCGTATGCTCCAATATATATATATATATGATCAGTATCCAATGCATTTATATTTCCTTAGGAACTGCAGTATTCATATTTGTTATGTTTTACTTTTCTAGTTTTCTGACATATAATTTGATGTTCACCTAGTTGAAATAGACTTGCATGTACTGTAGTTGGTCTTTTGTTACAAAAACAGTTTTAGCAGTTATTCCAGAACTATAGGAGTTGCTGAATTTAAAAGAGAAAAATGTTCTATTTCCAAGTAAAGAGAAAACAAAGCACGAACAGAATTTTGCTGGCGTCTTAATTGATTAAGGTCAACTCGGTAAACTAAAAACAGTCAATTAATAACTACTAAAGTTATTTATCTATAATGTTGTAAAGTTTGATCCATCCATGTTTTTTGTTTTTGGTATATGATTACGCATTCACCAGTTTCAAATTACATGCTCTCCTTTTCAAGAGGTTTGTTGCTTTTCAGAATTCTCCAGTGAATGTGACACATTTAGTTTTACACTGGTTAAGGTAGAAACTGGAGATAAATATAATATACATGTTGCGGATGCAAAGATAACATCATTGCTGATAGCAAGACAGAACCATAAAGCTAACAATAGGTAGATGAATTTCAATACAAGCATTTTCTTAAAAAAAGAATTTTCAGTACAAGCACGACTGGTAAAATCCCTGTTTTATTTCAGTCAACTTCATAATAAAAGTTGCAGCTGAAGGAGGCTCTCCAGCCTCCACCCAACCAAATGATGGTCAGGTAAATACGACAATATTATTTCACTGCATTATAAGTATTCCTTCATGAAGAACTTTAATAAAAAGGAATGAAAGAGAAGAGGGTATGTATCATTGTAGATCTTCTTGATGACATTATGCCAGGAGTGTTCCTGTAGTCCTGACTGTTACTGGAGAACACTCTTTGAGCCATGATCACTTTTGACATCACCCCAAACTGATTAAAAAGAAATGAAAGAGAAGAGGGCATGTCTGTATTGCCGACCGTTACTGGAGACCAGTTATAGAGCGATGATCACTTCTGGTGATGTTTTCCCTATAATATGAACTGTGGATTTGTTTTTGGGTAGATCTGTTTATGATATAATTTCCATTTTCAGTATGTGGGCTTGTAGACATCCCACCCGAAAAAAGAAGTTATGAATTGTATTACAAAATTAGGCTCTGGAATACATTTTCTAACTTTAAACAATTTCTTTGCAGCGTGACCGCCGCGTTGATTTGGATGATTACCATGTAAGCATGCAACTTTCTGATAACCTTCATTTTCTTCTTGCATCCACTTTAAGTTTGGTTATGCCATGCTATGCTGCCTCATTCATTATCATGTCAATTGGCTTGCAAAGTACTCCACTTTTTCTTTAATTGACAATAAGAGGGAGATACAGGTTAAGTATACAAGGGCCATTACCCAATGTTGGTCCTGGCTATCTGGAATCAGAGGAGTGTTGGACTGGATACAAACCCGCAATGTCAAGCTTGTCAGCTTGAGATTTTCTCATGATATCAAAGTATGATTTATCATGGGGCAACCTCCCAAGTTTTTTTTCCATGTATGAACATTTTAAAATATCCATATGCTTCATTCCTAAATATTTTGTTTCATTTTAAAGTATCCATTAAAAAGGCCGTGATTCTAAGTATCTACTTTATTGCTAACCCTCAAAACCTATACGTATTGTACCCATATGGTGTAAGGCTCAAAATTTTGCAACGTATTGGACTGTATTGGCCGATACGTATCATTCCGGTACAAGTCCGATACACGGAACGTATAGAAATTAATTTAGCGCCTATACAGTCCGATAGAAGTCCCCTTATCTCTCATTAATTTCATTAAATTATATTTAGGGTCTAATTACCTCATTAATTTTGTATTTACTCTTATATTTAAGTGGAATTTCTCTCACATTAATTAGTTAATTACTCTTGTAATTAATGCTTAATTTTAAATTTCAATTTCAATTTTAACGCTTAATTAGAATTCTCTTCTCATTAATTTCATTAATTAATAACCTTCTTTCTCATTAAATTTGTTTTGTTAGTATAGCAATAGCAAGATTCGAACCTTAGCCACTAGGCTTTAACAACTAGAGGTTCACCACTAATCCATGCCCATTCTCTTTTACTTTTAAATAACTTATTTACAATCATATAAAACTTGTAACTATCATCATTAATATATTTTTAGGATTTATTTGAGTTTTTTAGCATATTAATGTATATCTTGATTTTTCATCCATTCCATACATATCTAAAGCGTATCCCAATGGTTTGTAAAATTTTCTTTTTGATACACCTTACGTTTCCAATACTTTAAATCTTGCGTGTGATATTGATTGTTACTCTGATACAAGTTAAGACAGTACTTGATGATGTGCAGCACCAGCACTGCACACCATTTAAATTATCCTTTTGAGTTGAGGTACATTGATGATGGTAGTGGTGTTTCATGCTAACTAGTGTAGTGCAGGCCCTCCTTTTTTTCTCAATTAACTTGTAACTAGATCATGCTTCCATGCTGATGTTTATCTTCCGGACTCTTGCAGGATGAACTGTGAGGACGCTTCCCACAATTTTCGTTTGTGTTTCTGTCATTTGGAAAGAAAGTGGCTTAAAGCTTAATGACTGCCATTTCATCTGATTCTTCCCCTGGAGAAGTATTTGACACCCTTTTGTTGTACCAGTCTACACATTGTTGTATGGATGTTGTTGTAATTGTGTCATGCCAAATGTATCTTGCTTTGATGCCTGTAGCACTCTGATAAAGGTTCAAGGTAAGGGTATCGGAAAGAGTAATGGAAAGGTAATTTTGTGCCTTTGGAATGCGTAGATATGAATATGATACGTGGATATGGCATAGAGAACAATAAATCCCGAAACGTACATTAGCTAACATTAAATTTGATGCTCAAAATACTTCAAATCAATAAGACAGTATAAATGCATGAGAAAATATTTTTTATATGGACTATGAGATATACTTAGGCTGTGTTTGGTTTCAAAGGAAATAGTAGGAAAAAGAAAGGCAGGGAAACCTTTATAGGTTTTCATGTCTTTCTATTCCTTTTCCTATTTTTTCTTTCAAACCAAACATAGCCTTAGGGTTAAAATTAAACTTTGCATGCATATGTTGATAAGCTGGTACAAATCTTATTAATATTTAAAATAGTAACTTAATTATTAATTAATTCTTTCTTTATTTTCTTTTTAATTTTGCTGGTTGATGTAGCTTTGTAACTGATTCCATGTTATCTCAAACCCTAATCATGGTTTAAGGTGTTGATATTTGTGCATGTTACAAGGTTCCAAAACCTAAGCATGGTCCATTGCATTAATTTTTTGGGTGATATCATTTATTTTATTTTTGATATTCTTGGTTTCATCCTCCTCTTTTTATCCATAAAAAAATATCATTTTTAGCAATTTTAATGAAATTTGACAAGGGCTTTAGTATTGTAAATGCTAAGTATATCAAAAAGGCAAATTTAAGAGATATATCGAGATACGTTTTGTATACGACAAAAAATTAAGATATGCATGAAAACATATAAAAACAATATAGATACTCATACTCCAGTATATCATAAATATACATCAATAATATTAAATATAGAGCCTAAATGAGTTATATATATATATAAAATCATGTTCTTTAATAATTTTTATGAAAAAAAATGTCATAATCAACATACGAAGACATAAGAGTATTCTTTAATAAGGTTATAATTACAAAATATAAGCTTAATATTTATTTAATGAAACATTTTCTATAATTGTTTAAATAATTATTTATTTCTTATTCAAACATTTATTTCATTTTTTATTACAAAAATTATAACAAAAAGTAAAAAATAAAATGTAACAGAAAAATAATTTTATGGTTAGATCACACCAAAAATTAGAAAAAAGATAAATATTACAAAAAATAAAAACAAATATTTTGCAATAATTTTCAATAGATTTATGAATTGAAAATTGGAAAAAATGTTTTAAAATTACAAAAGTTTAAAAAATAAATATTTTTAGTTTTACAAAAAATAAACATTTTTTCATACTATAATTGAAAAAAACAAATATTGTTATTCAAAAAATTACAAAAATAAAAAAAAAATGAATATTTCAGAAATTTTAATAGATCTATAGATATGGTAGATCACTCATAGATCTATGAAACAATTATTCTTCAAGGGAAAATTACACCAAAACTATAAAATATTATTTTTTGGTTATTTTTTATTTTAAAACTTTCTTAAAAAATAAGTACATCGATTTAAAATACAAAAAAAGGGATTTTCAACACAAGGAGAGTATATATATATATAAGCATTTCCAAGCATTAAAAAAACACAAAATATTGTAACATACTATCAAATAAGTTGAAGAAAAGTATTTATTTTTGCATTTTTTTTGTAAAAAGTTGAAAAAAACCAAAAAAAATCTTGAGTTTTAGAGGTTGTTTTGGGTTTTTTTTTAAAGATTTTACAATCCAAAAATGTATTGGGATGATTTGGTGAGTTTGGGAGAGAAAAGAAGGCTTTTGAAGAGAGTTAGAAGTGTTTTTTTTCTCAAAAAAAAATTATTTTGTTTTTTGCATATAGAAAACCGCACTGTATTGGTCGATATGGTCCTAATACACCCCGATACGCCCCGATACAGGTCCGATACACACCCAATACGATCACAATACAGGGTTGGCATGACGAAAAAACACGATACAAATGTTTTATATGAAGGGATGAGAAACCCATCATATGGAAGGCCGAACCCTATAGGAAGGTAGGGAAAATTTTCAAAAATTTCTCTCTCTCCCATCTGGGAATCACATTCCCTGTTTTAGAAAAGCTACAATTTTCAATGATCAATCTTGAACCAAGAACCGAACCAGATCTGAACCAAAATAGTAGGAGAGGGATATACCTGATACGAAGAAATAATATCTTCCAATGGAGGTGTTCACGCCCAAAGAAGGATCCAAAGACTGCTCCTACTAAAGATGGCACAGTACAGGGTGCAGTGGAATCAGTAGTGTTCTTCCAAAGAACCAAATCCTTCACCAAGAATTCGCTGGGGGGTAGGTGAGCACGACTCCCAATCAGTTTTTCACCAAAAACTGATATCAAGAACGTTTCTTGATCGCTCCTACAACAATGGAGGTCAAACTGGCTATGGCGGCAACTGGAGGAGAATGCAGGGAGAAGATGGCGCAGTCACACTGTTGTTGTCTTCTCTCTGAGTGATCTGAGATCTGATCTCCGGATGCTGGGGGATGCTAGGATGAACTGAATGATTCGCCCCCTCCTTTTTTTATAGGCTTAAAGAGATCAGCTCCTAATCTCATTAGGAGTTTCCTGATTCAAATCCTTATTTGAATCTGGACTCTCTTTAAGTGATACGGATAAATCCTTATCTTATTTGCAGATTGGATCAACTCTCTCATAATCTCATTAGGAGGATTCTAGATCTAAATCTGTATTCAGATCTAGACTCTCTGAGTGGATAGGGTAAGACCCTATCCTATCTGCTGATCCAATCCCATATTTGCCCCTCTCTTTAATTAGTCCAACTAAACCCGTTCAAAATGGGCTTTAGGCCCAATAAGTCTATGTGCTCACTAACCTTCCAAACTGTTGCCTAGTTGGGCTTCCTTGTATGGCGTGGGACCCAAACATTGATCTACACATCAGCCACATGGGTTCAGCTCAACCTCTGTTACAAGGCCTGGTCGAATTCACTGAAAAGACAGTGAACCCCCTGAAACCCATCACATGGACTCCTAATGGGCCCAACGCTTACACTAAGTGATCCTTGAGCCAAGCCACCATATAAAAACTCAAGGACTATGGGCATATGCAAGATTAGCCCATCAGGTATTACCCTCAATGGTCTTACACTTAACATCTCAGCCCATAATGATCAAACACTGCCCGACAAGAGAGGACCTCTCCCTCGGCTGCAAGGAACAGTGTTGCACTCTCTACTCACATGGATCCTAGGAGTTAAAACATTTTGCAAACATTTTGAAACCGTAATATATATATATATATACAGTATATAAATATATTTTGCAAAACAAATTTCAACGATTGAAATCGGCTGCCGGYAGTCTTGGTTTCCATCAGAGAGAGTGCATCCCCGATCATTACCTTTGTCCGACAAAGGGGCTGATCCTATCACTATGATCACCCACTCAGATGAATTCTCGGACTGTCCCAACATACACAGGTTTTGACCCCCGCTAAGGATCTCACTGATTGACATATCAAAAACAGTCCAATCCGACACCTAGTGCAGTATCATAATCGAGTCTAGGGGTCAGGTGTAACTTTCCAGTTTTGCCCACTAATCACCAAGATCCAAGGCAATACTGGAAATCTGGTCCGGTTTAGGGTTTCACGTAAACCTACACTGCATGTACCTCGAGTCTCACCCTAGCAGCTGAGACAGGCCACCCCAATACTTGGCGGCACATCAGTGTCAGCCTTAGCAGGATAAATCTCTCTAGACTTATCCAACGGCTGTGAACATTTTAAACTAACACGAGTCTCATAAATGTCTAGTTTAAGGGTATTACACAGAAACACACCACTATAACATGAATCAAATATGTATTTTATTTCATTTACAATAAATGTCATATGGTATATCATTCTGATTGGAGCTAAGGGCATACACTATCTAACATTATAGTGTTTCTCGTGCCGACCCTTTAAAGATACAATACGTAGCGGTTGATACAGGCCGATACGTTGTGAAATTTTTAACCTTGCATCCTAATATATGGGATTGGCTATATGAATCATGTTTCATCATTATGCTCTATTCTATAAATTATGGATGCTTAAATAATTTTTTACTACTTCCACCCAAGTGACGTTGAAATTATATCGTACCGATTATTTAAAGGGTCAAAAGTTATAATCGTTGTTGGCATAGGTTAATGAGTTGTTATTTAATATTTATCTGAAATTTTTAACAGTTTTATAGGCAATCTCAGAATTTTTTTAGGTAATACATATTACATTATATACATTACGAGGAGGTCGAGAGGTGGGGATAGAGGAGGGTGTAAATGAGACGCACTAACTTTACCCTGAAGAGCTTGCAGATAGGTGAGTGCATGTGAGAACCGATATATCCCAGTGGTTTGGATCATTGCTGTATATCTAATTAAACTAGTGCTTTAAATTTGTTAGGTCTATGGATTTTTCCAAAAAAAAAATTATAAAAAATAATTTGTTTATATGTCATAAATGATTTTCATTGAAGGAAAGAACTATAATATGGATCTATCAATGATCCATTAAACACATTGATCTAAAAACAGTTTATGTCAAAAAAAAATCTCTTAATTTTTGGAAAAATAAAAATTAAAAAATAATAATTTATTTTATATACTCTAGATGATTCTCATAGTAAGAGAGAACTATAAGATGGATCTATTAATAATTTATCAAACTCATTGAGCTAACAACAGTTTGATGTGTCTTGTTATGAATTTTTAGTAGATTGGAAGTTCAAACATTGTTGGATGTATTTCTAGTAAAGTTCTTGTATGATATCTACATGCTCTAATTTCTCAATGTTATTGATTGTAATGCATTTCTTCATATAAACTATTAAAATGTGCATTTCTATGCATATATGCTTTATTCATAGTTATTTAAATCTTAAATTTAGTGTTATTGATGTATGTGTAAAATTTGTAAGAGCTTCCCTAATATATCCATATATTCCCACCATATTTATGTGTATCTAAAGTGTATTCATATTTGTACCTATATCTAAGCTTCCCAATACAATATGCATACTGTTGCTACCA